GTACAGTCATCATGCATCATCACAGTTTGCACGGGGATAAACAAATATGGCGATAATGGGCAACATTGTGCAATACCTGCGTGCTGTCGTCTTTCTGGAGATGATCCAGCATGGTCAATGATGCTGAAGAAACGTCTCGAGTAGATACCAGCCACCATGTCGACGATAGGTGGTGGCAGCCCGAACCTTCGCAAAGCGGCACTGAGACAATCCGGCTTCAGGCGGTCAAAGGCCTTCGCCCAGTCCAATATGAGCATCATGACGCCACCGCTTTTATTCTGATGTGTTGCGTAAATAAGTCGGCGCGCAAGCATTCGTGCATCAGCCGTGCCCCGGCATGGCCTGAATCCAAAATGAGATGGCCGCACACGTTGCTCAGCACCTCCATGAAAAAGACGGTGGTGTAGCATGCTAGCCATAGCTTTGTATCCAACTGCCAACAGAGATATTGGTCTGTAATTGTTTGGTAAGGTATGGTCGCCCTCTTTGAACAATAACTGCACGTTCGCCCTTCTCCAAGCCTCCTGCATATCTTTGTGCTCCCAACATTTTTGGCACATATCAAGCAGCACCATGCACGCATCGATATCCTGACCCAATGCTTTCCAAAATTCTGGTGGTATGCCGTCTGGCCCAGTAGATTTCCCATGCTTCATTTTCCTGATTGCCGACTGGAGCTCTGGAAGGGAACATGTCGAAGTATCAATGGGCGATTCTGCGCCCAGCGGCTCTGTGTTTGCAGGGCACACATCCGCGAATTGCACTTTCCATTGAATGCGCTCAAGATAATCGACCAAAGTGTCTGGTCTCGCCGCGGTGTCGGTTAAATTACCCTCGAAGTCTTTCACGCCGGCGTGTTTTGGAGAACGTCGTTTCCGATTTTGTCGCATGGCTCCCCAGCTCCCATCAGCCAGATTTAAAGTGATCCAATGTGCTCGATCTTGCCGCCCAGCTTGTCGGATGCGTTGATTCAGTAGTTTCTCTTCCTCTGCAGCCCCGCGTAGTCGACAGGTATTCTGTTCTTGGATTAACGCAAACGTGGCTCAGATATCCATGGTCGATGCGGAGTGTTTGTCACCAGCGGTAATTCTCCAGTTGCTGCGGCGAATGCTTGATCCACCCTTGCCGACGCAGCTTCTAGTTCTAGTGAGGCTGGGGTCGTAAATGATGCAGCAGTTTCGATGAATTTACGCGTGAACATGTTCTGGACGATAGGGTTTCGGAGTAAACTCATATTTTTCTCAGGCGGTCTGGTCCGCGAAGTTCTTTGGAATGCAAGTCCAAGCGTAGCACAAGTGAGGAAGTGGTGGCTGTTCAAGGCGGCGGCCCGGGTACACCAGCATTCTTCTACGGATTGATGGCACAGCACATGGTAAATCTGAGAAACAAGTTCCAGAGAAATCGATTGAAGAGGTTGTACTCCCAAATACCAATATGTAGTTTTATTCTCGTCGTCGCCCTCGAAGAATGTGTTCGCGACAGCCACCTCGCAACTAGTGCGTATCTCCATCAGCAAATGACGACTCGTAACTTGCGTGGAGCCTCGGTTTGCCGGTATTGCTCGAAAAACGTGTTCTCCAATAGTGTGTGTTTTTCATCTGGTCCGCTGCGTATATAACAGTCTGGCGTTGAAGTCACCCATGACGACATTAGTGTTGTGTTGCGTTGTTGGATTGATGTGCGCACCGAGGCTCGCAAAGAACAGCTGTCGCACTTCTGCGTCGTGACCGCTGTGGGGGGCGCATGCGGATATGATTGTCAACATGCCTCCCGCGACTTTGATTCTGAGTGTAGCAATTCTCGGACCGATTGCCTTGAAAGCAACAACAGCTGAGCACGCCCAAGGTGATATGATAAATCCGACTCTCGCGTCTGATCTGGAATCAGAGGTCGTTTCATTAGAGAAACAATGCAGAAATCCACGTTCCAAAAAATACTCATATCCATGCAGATGCGTTTCTTGTGTACAAAGTATGTCGAGACTGTAGGTTGCTATGAACTGGGTAATCTCTGCCCTCTTGATGTTTGAATCCCCACGTAGACGTTCAACACTCCATGGTCCGAGGCGCGCTGTCGCAAGTGGAGAAGATGCCCGCCTGGATCGTCCCCAAGAACCGGGAAGGTTCCCCGGCCGTAGCAAAGCCATATTACACAAAGAATTGGGAGAAGAATACCAGGGAGATGATTGAATAAGATGATGTTCAGCAGCGTCAGCTTGTCCATTCAACGGTCGGCGTACTTCTCGCGATACCAGTAGTTGGTAGGTTTGCCCATTCCCAACCACTCTGTCGATATAGACGTTGTTTCGGTAACGGCTCCAGCTGATGGTGGAGGACGTCGTGAACGACAACATAGCTTTGTCCGAAAGGCCCCCGATGCTTACAGACTCAATTGAACATTTCTGTAAGTGATTAGATGGTTCAACACCCAGATACACTTGTCCAACATCCTCGGCAACGGTGCCATCTTGGACTTCGCATGGCACCTGCCGTGTTTCCTAAGACACCCGCCCTCCTTTGGAGCCACGTTTCATGCCAGACGTAGCTTTGTCAAGCAAGGCATCGCACTTTAGATCCCAAAGTCCGCTGTGTTGTTGAAGTTCGTCCCATTTTTCCCATTCTTCGGTCCAGACGCACTTGAGCTGTGTGCCGCCCACAAGAGACCGTCAAAGCAAGCTCCCCACCCACTCGGACTTCATACGGCAATGTGTCCGTGACGTTGATGATGTACGGCGTCTGGAAAGCGTCCTTCAGAAATTATTTAAGGCCGAAGCATATATTACGTGCTGCATGTTCTGCAGCGGGGCGGTCCGGCGACGCCCAGGCGGTCTTGCCATTATTGACGTGTTTCGCATTCTTGATCAGAGCAGCTGCAGTGTCCCGGGCCAGCATGTTGTCGAATTCCGCGAACAGGATGGTAGTAGTGCTACTCTTCATGTACACGTTGTGTGGGAGCGGACCAGACGCAGCCGATAATTGTTCCCGTAGCCATGTCGCAGCCGTGTTGAACATAGTAAACCCTCCAAAATGCCGAACATTCCCGTGACAGAGCGTTTTCCGTCTGCATCGTGATTGGCACGTGCGCGCTGATCAGTGAAAGCGTACTGTTGTTTCAAAGTTGCCATATTTTTTTCCAAGGTTTGTATTTTTGCTTGTGCAGTCGGCCTTTGGTTGGCTTTTTGGCTGACAGCTCTCGGGAATTAAGTTTGTACGTTTGGCTGACGCTGTCGGGAATTAACGATTTTGGCTTCTTCGGGCCTTCCTGGAGGCCGTCCTCTTGGAGGCTTCTTGGGCCGTCTTGGAGACCTCTTGGGGGCCTCTTGGATTATTTTAGAGACATCTTGGGCCGTCTTGATGGCCTCATGGCCCGTCTGACGCCGTCGGAAGCCGTCTTGGGAGCCTTTCCGGGCCGATTTAGGGCCTTCTTGGGACGCTCCAGGGAAAGGCCATCTTGGGCGTCTTGGAGGCCTGTTGGGGCCTCCTGGGGCCCTTCTGGGGCAGTCTTGTGGGTCTCTTGGGCTGTTCTGGGGCCATCTTGGGGCCTCTTGGGCGATCTTGGGGCAATATTTGCGGGCTCATGGGTCGTCTCGGGCCGTCGGAGGACCGAAGAAAAGCAAGTGCCCAAATCCTTGAAAAACCTATGGAATATCACTGATGTGGGCCTCTCCGGGCCTTCCTGGAGGCCCCCTTGGGGGCCTCTCGGTCCGTCTTGGAGGCCTCTTGGGGGCCTCTTGGACTGTCTTGGGCAATCTTGTGGCCATCTTGGGCCATCTTGAGGCCATCTTGGAGGCATCTTGGGCAGTCTGACGCCGTCGGAAGCCGTCTTGGGTGCTCCTCTGCTGGGCCGACTTGGAGCCGTCTTGGGCTGCTTGGAGCCCTTCAGGGGCCGCCTTGGGGGCCGCTTGGGCCGTTCTGGGGCCCTCTCGGAGGCCTCTTGGGCGGTCTTGGGGCGATCTTTGGGGTCTAGTGGGCTGTCTCGGGCCGTCGGAAGGCCGAAGAGAAGCACATGGCACCATCCTTCAAAAACCTCAGGCAAACCAATGAGTTTGGCCTCTTGGGGCCTTCCTGGAGGACCTCTTGGGGGCCTCTTGGGCCTTCTTGGAGACCTCTTGGAGACCGTTTTTGGCATTGACTTGTGCAGTTTCTGAGTGGCCGGCGGGACGGGCCGGAGCCCATTGGGGGAGTTTTTTTGGAAAAGAACTAAAACCAAAATCGTAAGAAGTTCAGCGCGTCAGGCACCCCTGTGATGAATCAACAGGGGGCGGCGGATTTTTGTTCCAAGTGAGTTCTCCCCTGGACTTTCGGCCCGTCCCGCCTGCCACCCGGAAGGCGCGCAATTCTCAGAGAAATCCCCCCAAGATGGCTCTCAAGACCGCCAAGGTGGCCCAAGATGGCTTCCGAGACGTCCAAGATGGCCTCCAAGACCGCTAAGATGGCCCGATGCTTCCAAGACGGCCCAAGATGCCTCCAATATGGTCCAAGATGGCCTCAAGATGGTCCAAGACGGTCCAGTAGGCCCCCAAGGTGCCTCCAAGTCGGGCCAAGAGGCGTCCAACGGCCCGAGACGGCCCAAGAGTCTCCGAAGATCGCCCCAAGATCGCCCAACAGGCCTCCAAGATGGCCCCAAAAGGGGCCCCCCAGACTGCCCCAGGAGGGCCCCAAGACGGCCCACGATGCCTCCAAAACGCCCAAGATGGCCTCTAAGACTCTAAGACGGCCCTGGAGCACCCCAAGAGGGCCCCAAGTCGGGGCGCCAGGCGGGCCAGGAGGCCACGAAGACGGCCCAAGATGGTTCCAAGATGGCCCAAGGCAGCCTAAGGGGCCCCAAAGAGGTCTCCAAGACGGTCCAAGAGGCCTCCAAGAGGTCCTCCAGGAAGGCCCCAAGAGGCCAAATCCATTGGTTTGCCTTGGGAGTGCGTGCGCAGAAATGTTTGTTGATCACGTCCTGTCGCTCCCTTTGGCTCCGGAGATCATCCGCTGAGCTGTGGGGCGGGCCGCTGGATGCTGAGGACGAGCGTGGCCCAGTGGCAGTGTCAAGCAGCGGCGAAGTGTCCTGGCTACCTATAGCCCTAGACAGGAAGTGTTGTTAGAACGTGTATGGTGGAGTCTGTCTTGTTTTTAACACATCGGGAACATGTTCTAGGAACATTGTTTCTGTTCTTAGAACAGTTAAGGACATTTCGCGGTAGGACTATAGGAATGCCAGGACGGCTGGTCCCTGCTCAACAGTGGGCTGTGCTTGTGCTGCTGGCGAGCCTGCCAACGTTTCGGCGACTGGGGCCAGAGCCCGAGAGGCCCGCGCCGCCTGCGCCGAAGGGGCCGAGTGTGCGGGAGATCGTGGCCGACACGGTTAGCGAGCTCGAGGCATTGAGAGGTGGCGGAGCGCCGCCCCCTCCTGGCGGCGAGTGTTCCAGCGAGCTCGGGCCGCAGGAAAATGGCTCGCGGGCAGAGGCAGCGGAGTGCGTGTGCGAGTGTCCTGAGTGCGAGGCCCCGGGAAGCCAGTGGTTGGGCTGGTTACTGGGCGGTGTGTCTGTGCTGCTGCAGCTTCGCGGCTGGTGGCAGGGGCGCGGTCTCGATGGCGCGAGTTCGAAGGAACGCTCGCCCGAGGACGGAGACGGACGGCGTCGGCACAGAAGAGGCCACATTGCCTAGGCTCAGGCCAGTTCGGCTGGCGGCCACGAAATACGAGGGGCACATTCCGTGGCGCGAGCTGCCGCGGATCGGGTCGAGTACTGAGGAGGTGAAGGGGATGCCGGGCCGGAGCTGGCGCGAGATGGCACCCAACGGCGACGAGCACGGGAGAGCGCTGGATGGCAGCCAGTCAGGCCCGCGTCGGGTACCCTGTCGGGGCGGGGCGCATCAGGCCCCCGTCTGCAGCGGGTCAAGTTCCAGGCCCGAGTACCCCACGGACGAGCTGCATGTGAAGAAGGCGATTGAGCACTTCCGCGCGCTGTCGCACGCAGGCACCCCGCAGCCACCGCCGACGATTCTAGTGTACAGCACGGGGTCGGTGGTGGCGCGGCCTGACAGAGTGCTAAAGAATTTGGGCGCCGCTTTGGCGTCGCTGGAGCCCGCCAGAAGCGCCGCGGGAGCGGGTGCGCGACCGTTCAGGCGGGCGGCCGCGGAGAGCTGCTGGATCGTGCGCGGCCCCAGTGGCGCCGCCCGCATGCGCCCAGACATTCCGGCGAACCCCTCACGAGCATCGTGGCCCCTTAGGGCGCTCCACCGAAGGCCCCAGTGGCGCCGCTTGCATATGCGGGCGGCGCCACTGGGACGCATGCGCGCATGCGTCCCAACCGCTCATGTCGACGCACCCCCCGCACGTTTCGCGGCCCCATAGGGCGCGCCACCGAAGACCCCAATGGCGCCGCCCGCGTGCGCCCCAGCCGCTCACCCCGGCACACCTCCCACACGTTTCGCGGCGCCCCAAGGGCGCCCACAGAAGGTCCCAGTAGCGCTGCCCGCATGCGTCCCGGCAGGGGCGACCTGCGCACGTCGCTGGGATTTCTGCGAAGGGCGCGGCCAGCGCGCGTCGCAGGGATTCCGCGCTGCTCTCCGCGCAGCGCCTCGCTCGCCCAGCGGCGCTCTGCCGAGCTCGGCCCGCTGTCGGCCAGCTAGCTAGCTAGCTTTCTTTGCTCCGCGCAACGGACGACCTGGGCGCGTCGCCTGGATCCTTGTGGGGTAACCGGCGCGCGTCGCGGGGCCCCCGCGCTGCGCTCTGCTTTGAGCCGCGGCCGCCAGGGCCCGAGCACGCAGAGAGGGGAACTTTTGAGCCTAATTGCAAAGCGCAACGGGGGGCATCGTTAAGTCTTGGGGGGGGGGGGGGGGGGGGGGGGTCGATCCTGATACTTTTTGAGGCGGGAATGTTTGTTGCGCGAAGGGCTCTCGAAAGAAATGCGGCGTCGATGAACGGGCGCGCGCCTTCCAGTGGACGAGAGGGGAAGCGTTGCCGACCCGGCTGCCGGGGCGGTGCGAATGCATTTTAAGCGCGGGCGACGTGCCGGGATCGCACGTAGTAAATTTCATATCACCATGGGGGGGCGGATAAGTCTGGATGGGCGGGGGGGGGGGGTCTTTACGTTCATTCTTCAACAGGGAGGATCAATATCTGTTCGCAGCGCGGTGCCAACGCAATCAACCCGCCCACCCGCCCGCAACTTGGTTTACAGAACTGGCGGCGATTGCGATGAGTGTTGGGCGTTGGTTGGCGCATCTCTGCGGCCGCGCATGCCCGCGCGTGCTCCCCCCAGCAATCGCGCAGGTGCGCCTGTGCGATTTCGACGCGCGGCGCGAGAGGCCCGTTTGGCAGAATTCAATGACAAAACGAGAGAACCATTGGTTTTCTTGACGATCCGCATGGGCGCGAGCGTGTTTTCTTCTGTTTCGAAAATTGGCGTTGCAAGACCTTGTGCTGTGTTTGTTTTCGGGGCGCTCGATCTTGAAATCTGCGCGAAACCTAAGGATTGCGGCGGGTTTCGGCACGCGCGCGCTTTCCGTCGCATTTCTGGCAAAGGGATCTCGCGACAGCACGCGCGCGGGGGCGCTCGGGCGACCCCGTCGCGCTCGCGCGAGAGGTTCGTTTGGCGGCATGTCACGAAGAGGTTGAACAAACCCCGGGCTTTCTTCAATTCGCAAGAGCGCGAACGCAGGTTTGCGTGACAACTGATGTTGGCAACCATGTGTTTCCTGTTTTCGGGGCATTATTATTTTGACATTGCTAGCGAAACCTGGGAAGGTATTTCAAGGATTTCGGCGCGCGCCCGCGACGACGCGCGCGCAAATTGATTCGTGTAAACGAGAGCGCGCGCGGAGAATGTTCTGCAAAGGATGGGGGGGGGGCGGCGCGCGTTTCCCCGGGGCGGCGCGAACTCGCGTCTAGAGTGGGCGATGGGCCAGCACCACGCGCATATTGCAATGCCAAAAGGCGATGCGTTAATTTCGAGGTGGGGGGAGGGGGGGGGGGGCGGGCGGCCCTGGCCCCACTTGTGAATCCGCGCGGCGACGAGGCTGCGACGGCGACGGCGTGGCGACGGCGACCGCGGAGCCGCCGGACCGGCACCTGGTCTCATTTACCGGGGACAACGAAGCAAGAACCCGCAAGTGTAAGCCTCGTTAAGGAAAACACCCGTGCGCGATGATTTCTAAACGCGAGGCGCATCAGATTCCTGTGCGCGCGCGCTCGCTCGTCTCGCGCCACGGCCAGAAGTTGTCTCGTCAATCTGCCGAATGAGGCCACGCGGCCCCCGCGCGCGCGCATGTCTCAAACTTCGACGAGTATCGCGTGCCCGTCCGCGCAGTCAAACACCGCGCTGCTGGCGACGCGCGCTCGCCTCCGCGCCCGGCCAAGACCATCGGGCTTCAACGCGCGCCGACACAGGGGGCGCCAAACGCACATGAAAACCAAACTTTTCGTTTCAGTTCGCAGTCTGCCAGTGCGTCTGGATTTTTGCGCGCGCGTGCCTTCGTCGCCCTCATCAGCGCCAGCGTTAGCATCGTCGCCAGCGTCGACATCGCAACCGGCATATTCATCCCCATCTCCGCAGTCGCCGTCCGCAGCCGTCTTGGCCCATGGGAACCCAGGTCTGAGTTTCCATGTCTTCGGCGCGGGTTTACGTCTTCGCCTTGCCGGCGGCAAAATTATTGAGCTCGCGCGACAGGATGTCCCCAGCGCGATCTCCGACCGCAGACTGTCTTTCCTTTCAGGGCAATCGTGTCCGTCGTCCTGATCGCGGCCACATCCGAGTCGCTCTACGGGTTCAGCAACGCAGCGTGCGATCTGGGCTGCAGCGCGGTTCATGGGCGCCCCCGAGCAGCTGGATATCCGCGGTCTCATCGCAGTCATCAGCTGCGTGTGCGCGATGTGCTGTGACTCGCCTGAAGGCCCTGCGATGGCACGGTTCGCCGCGAAGTCTTCCCGCTTCGTTCCGCGCGGTTCAGTCGACGGCGCCGAAAAGGCTCGCGCAGTTTTCGACCCGCTCTTCAAGGGTGGCGCAGAGGGGGGGCGGCAGCTCCGGGGCGGCGACTTCCACGACGAGCAAATGAAGAATGCCAGCGGGCTGCCTGAGAGCAAGCTGGTCGCTGGTAGACGCCGCGACGAGGAGGGGGGGGGGGCGCGGCCCCGCCTGGGCAGTTCCAACCAGAGCCGCGGCATCGCTCGGGCCCGCGTACCTGTGCCCCGCGAGAGCCATCGAAGAGCGCCCCGAACCTTCTGACACAAAAAAAAAAACACGCGCGCAGCCGAACCACAAACTCGGCGACTAGACGTCTGATCGATGGCAGGGAGCGGCTTCTCCCGACCCCCGCGCTGCGGGGCCCTCCCTTCCCCCGCTCCACTCCGAGGATGCAGCGCCGGCGGCTCGGGCGCGAGCCGCCAGCGGGCGGTGCTGCCCCGTCGCGGGGAGGCGCGGGCGCTGGCCATCTTGCGTCTCGCCAGCGACGGCGCTGCGGAGGGGCGTTCGGCGGCCGATGGCAGCGAAGGGGGGGGGGGGCGCCCCTCAGCTCCCAGGGGGCGCCGCAGGCCCGCTCGCCTGCGCCCCCGGGCCCGCCCGCCACAGTCGTTGGCGCCGCTGCGGTTGCTCATCGGAGGGAAGCAGGCCCTCCTCAAGTCGGCGCTGGGCGCTGCGACGAGCTCTCTCCTCGAGCCAAACCGGGATGGCAATGCTGCGCCCGCCGCTTTTCGGCGCGTAGAAGATCAAGCGCTGGGGGTTGCTCGCGCGGCGCGCGGCGGCGTCGCCCGCGCGGGTGGCGCCGGGGCCGCTCGCGGCCCCGATCGCTCTTCCGGCGTCGCAGAATCGGACGTCGCTGCGGGTGGCCTGTGTCCAGCTGGCGCCGACTTCGGCGCGGGGGGCGAAGACGCGGGTCGAATTCGCCGGGGAGATCGCTGAGATCAAGCGCCATGGCGGCGACGCAGTCCCAGCTGGTCACGCCGCTCATCGCGCCGACGACGCGCCGATGGCGTTCTCTTCGCAGGCCCCGCTGGGGGGGGGGCGCTCCCGGCGACGCCGCTGCCGGCCCGTCCCGAGGTTGCCCCTGGCGCCGCCACGCAGGCAGCGCTGGCTCACGAGCTGCCGGAATGGCCGGAGGACTTCGCGCCAGACTGGGGCCTTCAGCCGATCGGCTTCCAGCGGTTCGAGCCTTTCCCGCAAGAGCTCTCTGTCGATCTAGTCCCCGGTGTAGTTCCAGGTGCTTGAGGCGACGTCGGCGTGGTGAGTGGTTTTGTCGGCCCCGTCAGCGACGCTGAGATGCGCGAGGTCACGCGTGGATGGGAGGAAGGGTTGGCAACGCGACCCGAAACAACATTGGAGTGGCTGTTGTCGCCCCCCCGCCCCTTGCGGCTGCGAGCCCCGTCCCTGCCTCCTTCGCTGAGCCCGTCAGGCAGCGGACAGCCCCCCGCGCTGCAGCCGCAGACGCAGCAGAAGCAGCCGCAGCAGCAGCGGCAGCAACGGGAACCGCCGCTGGTCAACCTGAGCGACGACGATTACCACCTCGAGGCGCTGCGCCTGGTCCAGCCCTGTGGCGCGGGGCCCAATGCTTCGGTGGAGGAGGTCATGGAGATGGCGCAGAGTCAGGGCCGCTTCATCTCGCGGCAGGGGGCGGCTGCCGATGATCGTAGCCGCGTCAGGCAGGGCCTCGGCCTGGCGCGGGCTGGCCGCGCTCGCTCCTCTTCCGACGGCGCGTAGAGGTTTCTTCGACGGCGCCGCACTCGAGCTGCTGAGCAGGCGGGCCGCCGCGGGCCCAGGCAGCGCGGGAAATCCTGCCGGGCTGGCCCCCCTCCAGCCCAGGCCGGGCCCCCCCCCCCGCCCGGCGGCAGGCCGGCGCCCCCCCCAACCCGGGTCGCCCTCCCCCTTCCTCGGGCCTGGCCAGGCTGGGCGGGCGCGGCGGGCTCGCGATGGCAGCGCCCTGTCACGGGCATTTTCGCTGCGACGCCTTTTTGTTTGCATCGGCGCTGCGGTCTTGAGGATAGCCGCTGTTGCCGTCGAGTCCTCGAGCAATTGCATGTCGCCGTGGTCTCAGGCTACATCGCCCCGTCGCGGCGGAGCGTGCTCGCTTCGAGGATCGACGCGGTTGTCGCCCAGCCTCCATGGCGCCACCGCCCGATTATGGCTCACCCACACATACACACACACACACTTCATTCTTAGTGGCGCCAGAGGGAGCTCCACCGAGGGCCGGAGTGGCAGCGCCCGCATGGCGCCGCCGCCCCATTGTGGCACATCCCTTGCTTCGTGGCCCCAGAGAGAGCCCCACCGAAGGCCCAAATGGCAGCGCCCGAAGGGCGCCGCCGCTCCATGTCGGCATATCCCTCACACGCTTCGTGTCCCCATAGGGAGCTCCACCGACGACCCAAATGGCAGCGCCCGCATGGCGCCGCCGCCCCATTGTGGCACACCGCTCACACGGTTCGTGGGTTCAAAGGGAGCTCCACCGAAGGCCCAAATGGCAATGTCCGCACGGCGCCGCCGCGCGATTTTGGCACACCGTCAAACATGTCGGGGCTTGTTTCGGAGTCCCCACTACACCCCGCACGCGTCTCGCAGACCCGTAATGGCCCCACCGAAGACCCAAGTGGCAGCGCCCGCCAGGCGGCACCCCGCCCGTTTCGGTCACCCCTCGCACGCTTCGTGGTCCCATAGGTCCCCCCCTTTCTTCCAACCTGCCATGCGGCAGTCACACGTGCATATGGTTGGGTCCTTCGCTCAGATCATTTCGCGTGGCCAGGTGAGCCCGAAGGCAACAAAGGGTGGAACTATTTTGAGTGCTGTGGGTATCGCTTGCAGTGTGTGCGCCAAGGCTTTCGCTCAGGACATAGGTGACCGCCGACCAATGGTTAAACGCGTTACGCCTGATCGCCGCTCTTACGAGTGGTTCATCGCCAACAGTGTTTCCCTCCACTTTTACCCGTTGCGGATTATGCTCCGGTTCGGGATGGCAGGGACGTGTTCTCCAACATCGACAAGATAGGAAAGGTGTGTTGCCCCACGTTCACAGGGAAGTGTCGTTTGCACACGGGTTGTCATCTCTGTCTCCGCGTTCTGCTTTGCCCGATTCCATGTGATGAATTGGCTTCCATGCGCAGTGTTTAATTAATTCCTCCGCCTGCTCCTCACAGATTGCAGAGGCTCTCTCGACTCCTGTTGGACCCTCGAGCCGACCTACCTGTGTTCCCGTCTACGGTCCCCGTGTCTCGATTTCACGTCTTTGCGAACACGATCACCGCGGAGCAAAAGACGGGCCACCCGCCTCTCAACCGCCAGCCCCCGTGCGGCTAAACAAGAAAGCGGACTGCAGGGCAGGGCAGCCCGGCGGGGGAGAGGGAGGAGGGTTCCAGGTGCGCCGTGCTCCGTGGCCAGACAGTGGGACGATTTGAAGAAAGACGCAGACAAACGCCGTGCGCACGCCGTGCGCATCAGAGGTGCGTTGGCAAGGTGTAGAAACGAGCATTCTCATTTCAGGGTCCTTGCGGATCTTGAGACGAGCTTGAAATCACCCGCACAGTCAGGGCAGGGTCCAGAGGCGAGGGGCATGGGTAGAAAAGTGAACGGGACACTCAATACTCGTGCGTGAAAACCTATTACAATCAAGATGATGTTGGATGTCCTGACTCTGATTTTGTGCGTTGCGCACTGGAAGGAGGAGAAGGAGGTTGATGATGATGATGATGATGAGGAGGAGGAGGAGGAGGAGGAGAAGGGTATATGGAAATGAAATGCCTGGCGGCTGCCTGCCACGTGCCTAGTAGGCCTGGCCACAGTCCGTGCAGCGCGTTCGAAAATCTGGCTGCTCTGACGGCAAGCTCGTGGACGTTGTTTTTTTCACGTGTTTCTCGTTGTTCCCCTTTTTCGGGGGCCGTCTCAAGGAGCGATCTGTGTAGATCGACCGCTTGGCTTCGGCAAAGAAGCTGAGGACGCCGAAGCTTGTGATCGCTTGCACCAGGGCGTCTGGCGTGACGCTGTCGAAAGCCTTGGCCCAGTCCAAGGCCAGGAACCATTGTTTGCCAGACCGGGTGTTCCAGAGGTCCTCAAGTAGCCTCCTCGCCACGAACAGAGCCTCGGGCGTCCCGCAACGTGATCAGAACCCAAACTGAGTGTTCCAAATCCGAGTCTCAGCGCCACCATCTTTTCAGCCTGTTGAGCAATTCAGACGCGTAGAATTCCTACAATAGTACAGGGGCAATCGGGTGGTAGTTTGCACACTGCGCCGCGTCCCCCTTCTTGAACACGGCTGTCATGGCGTCTTGGCGCCACACGTTTGGCACCGATTTCTCCACCCAGCATCGGGTACACAGCAAGGTCACCCATTCACACTCAGGCGCGCCTTCCCTGCGTAATGCCTTCCAGAATTCGGCTCGGACGCCGTCTTGGCCAGCAGCGCGATTGCGATGGAGCCCGCTGGCGGCTCGGCAGACTTCTGACTGATTGATTGCGCCATTGGAAACGTGGCGCACAACCCTCTGCACCCTGGAGAAACATTCTGCCGACGATCTGATCGAGGCTGAAGGCCCCACATCGATCCGACGATCCGAATCCCTATCGGTTCTGGCCAGCCCGATCTGATCCCTTTTCCTCCCTCCCTCCCTCCCTTCCCCCTCCCTTCCTTCCTCCCTCCTCCTCCTCCCAGCTCGTCCTCCTTCTCCTCCTCCTGCCTCGTTCCGGCAGTCCGATGATTTCATGGCGTTGTTGTGCATCCCAGCGCGGCCGATACGATTCGATTCCGACTCCGTGCCAATGCGGCCCGATTTGACACATTTTGATTGGATCCGATTTCCCGATTCGATATGGACTGATCCTGCACTGGCCCCACTACATGTGGCACGCTTGCCTCCATCCTTCGCCCACTCCGCTCCGCCTCCCCTCTCGAGTGTTGCCAGAGGTTGTCCAGGCCCAGGGTGGTCCCAGCCATTTGAGGAAGGCCCACATGGCCCCCAGGGCACCTCTCCCGAGGCGCAGGGGGCGCGGGGGGCCCGAGAGTGGCGCGAAGAGCTGGGGGTGCCTTCTGGGCCAGGGACTCCTCAGGAACCCCTGACCCGTCTCTCGCACTCCCTGCCCCCCCCCCCCCAGCCCGACCGCCTCCGCTCGGGAGGTTCGTCATACATGGCACCAGGGACGAGATCGTGCCCGTCTGGCACGGACAGGCGGGCCGGGGAAGGTGGCCTCGCGCCGCACGGGGCACGCCGGCGTGCGGCGAACGTCCAGACGATGGTCATGAAGGAGAGGGTCTCGGAAGAGCCCCCCCCTGACATCTTCGCTGCGCAACAAGTCGCGACGGAAGGTGTTCGGCACTTTTCGGCTCCGAGGGTTGCGTGCCCCAGGACCGCCAGCAAAGACGGCTCAGGATGAGAAGCCGGTTTTGGGGAAGGGGCCCAGGTTTTTGGGTGACCACTTGGTGGGACAAAATCGCGATGTTGGATGTATGGGTCTTGAGGCTTGTCCAAGGGGCCCCCGGTGATCTTGGACCCGTGTCCATCGGGGCCCCTTCCTTCCTCACGCCGGGTCCGGCAGCATGGCTCTGGCCTCGGGCGCCCCCCTTTGGGAGGGAAGGGGCGCGGGGGAGGATCTGCAGAGGGTATCTGTACACTACCGCCGTGCCTGGCATGTGCCGTCCTTGGGCATGCAGGCTTGTGTATGGACTCGCCTGGCCTCAGCCAGGACGGCGTAACTATACGCCATGCTAGGACCTGGGGCGGGCCTGGCCTGACGCAGCGGCGGTGTGTATAGATTCTAGATTTCGTTTCCTTATGGCCGCTGCCAGGGGGGGGGGGGGGGCGCGGCGGCGGCGGCGGCGGCGGCGGCGGCGGCGGCGGCGGCTGAGGCGGAGGTGGAGGCGGCGACGACGGCGGCGGCGGCGGCGGCGACGGTGACCCGTCGTCGTCGTCGCCGCCGCCGCCGCCGCCGTCGCCACCCGTCGTCGCGTGTTCGGCGGTTTTGGCGTTCGATCGAGGAAGTTACCTTCGGCCCACCTCGCCACCGTGCTTGGGTTGTGGGTCAGAGGCCTCTTGAGCGTTCGTTTGGATCTCGTGGTGGGCCTTTATGGGGGCTCTTTGAACAATTTTTATTTCCTGATATTCGCTCTTCGTTTCGGCGGTTTCGTCCTCTCCTGCTCTTCGTTTCGGCGGTTTCGACATATCCTGCTCATTGTTTACCCGACCTTCGCGCTCCTGATTCCCGCTCTCCTCTCCCGTCCATGCGTGGCCAGGGCTGCTGAATCGATCGGGCGTGCTAGGCGTATGCCGCAGGTTCTGTCCCCCAGGGAGATTTCGCCGACGACGGGTTCACCCAAGATCCCGCTGGGGAGGAGCATACCTAGGCGTGCGTCGCTCATCTTTTGGACTGCGCGGTCCATCGCATGGCCCGTAAGCGCGGCAGCGCGGCGATAGCGGCCACGGCGCCCCTGGTCGCCTCTGCCCCAGGGTTCCTCGCAAATTTCGCGCGCGCGGTGACGCTGCCGGTCGGCCGCGGCCCATGGATGCCCATGGCGGCAGATCGAGGTGGACACCTGCGAAGGCGGCCGCGTGGAGAGCACGGAGGATTTCTTCCACGCAGTAGAGGAGCCACATTTGTTTGGTTTTGTCAGGATTTCAGGTCTGGGAACTACCGAGAGAAGATGCGGGCGAGGTGGTCGGGCCTCCTGCGCGCGATGGATCAGCGGATCAGGGCCGCTTGTGGCGCGCGGCGGCCGGGTGAGTCGCATTCACTGACGCGGCTGCTGTCTCGGTGATTCCCTTGGGTCCGGGGGCGGGAGCGGTTCGTCCACTGCGACCTTCGCGCGATCGGCGCTGGGGTGATATCGCGGGAGGGCCGCGCGCGAGGCGGGCCCGTCGACGCGCGCGGCGGCGCTTGAGGCGACCCGTCGTTGGGCTGTCCGCCCAGAAAATGCTCGTTGTCGCCCGGGGAGGCGCCCGTTCGCCCTCCATGGCCGACGGGGTCTCAGTCGTCGTCGGCCGGCGCGTCGCCAGGTCCGTCGAGGGGCGACGGGGGGAGTTGTAGCGCGAGGTGGGCGTCCTCCTTCGAGATCGGTTGGGTGGCATCGCTGGCCGGGGGCGCTGGGCTGTTTGGCCCGCCCATGGGCGGGGCTTCATTCGCCCGAGTTCGGCGTTGGCGCAGCCGCCCCGTCGGTGGGGCAGGGGGCGCGCGCGGGAACGTCTGCCGGAGATGCTGGTAGCAGCGGTCTGGTGTTTCGCCGCCAGCCGGGAGCGCTGCTTAGCGGCGTCGCACAGAGCCGCGTCTACGGCAAGCTCGTCGGCCTTCTGGTTAAAGTATTCCGCGGGGGCTGATAGGAGACTGGCGTTAACTCTCTCCTCGCCTTCGTGGCCGGGGACTCTTTCGCGGCGGAAGAAGTCGCGGCGAAAGTGGGCGGCCTGATGCGCGCTTCTAGAGCGCGGAGATGTCGTGGACCGTCTGATTGCCCGCGAAGATGTGCACGGGCTTTCCGGCGGTGGACGCCGCGCGGCGGAGGGCCATGGTCTCGGCGCGCTGAGCGGACTGAGCCAGCCCGAAGACTTTGGCAGCGCGGTCATGGCGATGGTCGGTCCCGTAGAAGGCGCCGGAACCGGCCCGCGCGAGCAGCGGGTGGGCTTGGCGCGAGCAGGCCCCGTCCGTGGCCGCGTAGATCTGGCTGGCGCTATCGAGGTTAGAGCATTCTTGCCACGCGCGGCCACCTCTGGCCAGGTACCTGACGAGGAGGCCCGCTTGCCAGGCGGCGCGCTCCAGTCGACCCTCGGCGCATCGGAGGCGCGCGAGAGCGCGCGAGAGCGCGCGCGTCGGCGCCCCGTGGCGCTGGTGCCAGGAAGCCGAGGTCGCGCAGGGAGGATCTTACGCAGGAAGCACCGCCGCTGGGACGCACGGAACATGCGGGCGAGGCAGCTGGGCGGCAGGCTGATCCACGCGATGGCGGCGCCCCGATCGTCGTGCATGGTTCTTGTGCCGGGCCAAGTCAAGTGGAGCTAGTCGAGGGCCTGGAAGAGTCGGCCGATGGGGCCACCGCCTTGTTGTCCAGTCTGAGCCGACAGGCGGAGGTCGTCGACGACGCGGCTGAGCCGCTTGTCGCGGTTCACCTGTCTGCGGCCAGCGGTGAAAACCTCGCGCTGCGCGATCGCCGCAAGGTCGAGAGCGTGGCTGGGCACGCAAATTGCCATTGCAATCCAGTGGGAGAGCCACGGCCGCCCGCGGCGGCGGCAGAGGGCGCCTGCACGTCGGTGCCGGAAGTGCAGACGCTGTTCCATGCCCCGGGAAGGTCCGCAACCCGCGGGGGGCGGGTCTGGGCCTTGCGGGCTCGGGCGTCCGCGGGGGCAGCCAGGTTGAGCTGGTCGTGAGCGGGGTCGGGATGGGCCTTGAGGTGACTGCAGAGTGGCTTGCCGCAGAGGGTCAACTGGTTGACTTGGGCCGGCCCATGGCGCCTGGCCGAATGCCGATGACCTTTCCCGGTTTCGCCATCTCGGTCTGCGCCAGCGCTGCGCCCGACTCCGCTGCCGAGGGGTTAGTAGGGCTGTTGTCGTGAACGAAGGTAATTCTAGACGCTTCGCGTAGCCCCGCCAGCCCATCCAGAAACGATGCCCCGGGGAATTGCCTCGATCAGGGAAGTGGGCAGCACTCAGAGGAAGGGCCCCCCAGTAGAGGCCTCTTGGAGCGCCTTGGGTGCTTCGGAGAGCTTCTCGGGGCCTCTCGGGGGTCTCTTGGGAGCATCTTGGAGGCCTCTTGGGCGCCTGTTGGGGCCTCCTGAGCGCCTCCTGGGGCCCTCTTGCAGCGCTCTTGGGAGCCTTGGGAGCGCTCTTGGGGCCATCTTGGAGGACATCGATCAAACAAGAAGCGAGCATTAGTTTGCGTTGCCCCTCGGGAGCCTAAAGCATCGCCTCTTGGGGCGCTCTTGGAGCGCTCTTAGGCGCAGCGAGTCTTTCAATCGCGCGGTGCCCGTAGCGCGACGTTCGCGCTTCTGCAGCCCATTCTTTTCCCATGTAGTTCGCGCTCGGCGCAGCTTGTTGCTTCTTTGCCGTTCGGCGTAGTACATCTTATATTGTGTGCTTATGTATCGCACTGTCCTTCCTTCACGTCATACCACTGATGAGGCATTCGGAGAAAAATGAAAGCTTCCGATGTATTTTCGACCTTGCCGCAGTCTCCTGCAACAGCAGTCGGACGTGGCGCTTTTCTTAGCCTCCGTCTGGAACAATGAGAGCAATTGAGGCGTCGAGTACGGATGCGCAGGCAGAATAACATATTTCTGTGAGAAGCATTTGATCGTTTCGGTTGCTCCTACATGTGTTTTCGCAGTATTCTGGGCTTCGTCCCGCGCGAGCGCCCGATTGAATTTAGTTTGAAGCAATTTTTTTTGGCGTCTGGGGTCCTTTTAGACGCCATCGGGGCGCTCTGGGGGGGGGGGGGGGGGGGGGCATCTTGGAGCAAATCTATCAAAGAAGAGCAGAGCTTTAATTAGCGCTGCCCCTCCAGACTGTCTAAAATCGCTTCCTGGACCCCTCTTGGATCGCTCTTGGAGCGCTCTTGGACGCTGTTGAGGCAGTCTTGAGGCTCTCTTGGGCCCCTGTTGGGGCCCAGTTGGGACATCTTGGCGCCATCTTGAGGCCTCGGATGGGCTTCGGAAGCGAAAAAGTGAGAACACCAAAAACATTGATTTTCCCTTTGGGGTTTTGAAGCATTTCGGCCTTTTGAGGGCACTCTAATGATGCTCTTGTGGGCACTTGGAACCATCTTGGAGCGGTCTTGGAACGTGTTGGAGCGTCTTCTGAACCATCTTCAGGCATCTTGCGCTATCTTGAGCCATCTTGGAGGCGATCTTGGGCTCTCTGAGGCCCTCTTGGAGCCGTCCTGGGCCATCTTGGACGCTCTGACCGCTCCCCGCCCCTCCTGTCCAGGTCAGTGGGGAGGGGGTAGGGGGAGGGGTAAACCCCTCCCCGAAGGGGAAGAGGGAGGGGTGGAAGAGGAAACGCCCTAAACCACCGACGCCCAGAGGGCTGGTGGGGAAACGCTTCGCGCATCCCCACCAGCCCGTCCAGAAACGACGCCCAGGCGAGTAGAGGGTCGTCCTGAGGGGTTTTTCGGCGTCTTGGGTGCCTCGGGGGGGCCTCTGTGGGCCGTTCGGGATCCTGTTTGGGGCCTCCTGGGGGCCTCTTGGGGCCTCTTG